TTATAAGAATCAAAGACGTTTAAGTACAATTAGCAGCAAAGATAATGTGACCTAACCAAAATGAAACTACGATAGAAAGCCAAAGGAAGTGGGAATCGTAGGTCAGACGGAATGGAAAGTGAAATCATCAAGGAATCGAATTTGACCTCTTCTCTCCGGAGTTTTCTCAGCCGTAGTCAGTGAGCGACGAGATTAATTTCGAGTCACTGAACAGGACGTGTTAATTACTTTCGTTGCGAAATAATACATGTATAATGAGTAATTCCGCTACATAATAACATCGATATCAATTGATAGCTACACCACGTCATTCAACAGCAGCAGCAAAACCACATACTTTCACAAAATCAGTTCCACAATTTACCAGAAAACAAACTCCTACTAATATTCGTTATTCAAAAATTTTCAACGCTTTTAAACGCGAAATACGACATATTTTATACCTATGGAAATTTATACATATTGCTCTTGCTTTCAAATGTTGTAAATGTAGTTTTTATTATATTAACGAAGTAATGTGCCGATACAAGAGGATAGTACAAAGTGTCACTCAATTACGCGATGTATTTTATAACGGTAGGATTAAATTAATGTAATCAGAGTAGTGACAGTAAAACAAAGTTCACATGAATCACGGGAGATTCTAAAGGTTCTAGAAAATCAGAAGTTCGATGACTCATCAATTCCGTGCCTAAGATCATATGCAACATTACTGACTCATACCAATCCAACGTTGTCTTGGATTTGTTACGACTTCGAACCGATTAACGTAACTGTAGATCTATAACGTCGAGGCAGCTGTACCCACGAGCTAAATCAAATCACTAGCTAACTACAACCGTGTACTGGGAGAGGTTGTCTAGATAGGCCCACAATTTTAATCGAAAATCTAGACGTCATGGTTTCAATGGTAATTTATTATTGCCACCCCTAAATTTATCTGACAAACCATCTGCCATTAATCGTCCGCTCGATAAAGTTACGGCTAGAGAATAATAAACATAAGAATCTTCAAAATTCTTAGGTTCCATTCCTCAATATTTCTGGGGTGCTAAACCAAGAACGATTAGACGAGGACAGTTAGATAGCTTACCCAAGTTTGGTTAATAAAACTTAGTACCAGCTGAGAGACATGATTAAATAGGAAGGTAACATTAACATATAGCTTAGAATAAATATTGTGTGGAAAGTATGGACAGCTTCATTTGACTCGCGATAAGGTCCAAAGGTAAGGAACCTTTGGGGTCCATGAAACAATGGACATTTCTTAATCAAATGAGCGACAATCAGCTTGCCAAGGACTCTGCTCCCCGTCGGATTAACTTGCGTTATAACAGATTCATCTGTCGCGTAACGTTACGTCTTTTTACCCATACAAATGTACGCTATTCAAGAAGAATAAACTAAAACCAAGGAAGGAAATATCTCTGCAGCTTAATAGTTTTTTATACTCAAGATAGTCCCTAAAGACACAAATCAAGTCTGTACAGATAACACTACAGTTGTCACAAACATGTATACGCATTACATAACGGAATAATAACCCTTTTATCGACCTCGGCGAGTTCTATTTACGAGGAAGCCGCAAATATTTTCCCATCTTTCAGATATGCAAAATAACGGAACATCGAGTTTCAAGCAACGCAAATTCATCGAATGTTAAGTATACAGAGTTTTCGGACACTCTGTATTTCGTTGGTTTCTAGAAGCACATATTTAAAACGGGGTCTGCCCACTCCCTAACAGATACGGCATTTGGACGTACAAAACGCTATCTGAATGATTAAGCAAATGTTTCCTTGTGTGTTAAATAATGCTGCTTATTTAACATAGCCATGGATTCATGTCTTGCAAACAGGAGATAGTTTACTTCTCAGTCCGGCTTGAAACGTGTCTTGTTCACAAAGTCTCAGTACTGGAACCGTAAAAAAAAGTCGAACACAAATATTATAACTGCAGCCTAAAAGTAACTGAAAGAATATTACAAAAAGGTTGAGATGCAACGGGGAAATTATTACCTTGTCTGTAGTTACAGATATATGTAGAACAAGTACACACACACTCCACAGCCAAACCAACATTCACGACTGAAATTAAATTCAACGACTTGTTCTGAAACAGCAGTAGGATAGTCACATGACTACCTAACCAATGAGACTCGCTCCCCCCCCCCCCCCCCCCCCCCACAAACTTTACCGATTCTGTGAATAGTTCTGCCTTGAGGAAAGATACATTTTTCATAAATTCCTGCTCACAGGTAACGCGCAGACCTACAACTGAATGAGTGGGAAGGAAATTGGCGTATGTCACAAGAGCCAAACTTTAGGCAAAGTGGGGGGGGAGGTTCATGTTAATTTCTGTTACCAAAACTTATCTTGTAACGGTCAAATTGACATTTTTGTCTTCAACATGTGCCCTTCTTACACTCTTTGGACACGTAACTGGTTTCAGATAATTTAGAATTTTTTTTTAATTACCAGGTTACTATAAATACATTTTTAATTTACGTTTCAACCTCATTTTCGTCTTTAACCCGGTATTTTATTTGTCCTGGCCGTTTGCTAGTTGTCTGCCATGTTAGGATAGAAGTCCAAACACCACGGCGATCATGTTCACTTTTCTCCCTGACCTGGTTGACGACAGTCAGCTTTTTATGTTTTATAGGTGCATACTATTAAGGTAAATGTATTTTATTTGGGGCAAAAACAAGCCTGGTGATTTACAATTATTCTTTGTCTGGACTTTTTCCCGTCTTCAGGTGAAAGGTACCTACTCAGTTGGGTCCGTCAGATAGAGCTAGTCTCCGTCACTAGACAACATATGTCATTCAACTGTCTCAACATATCCACCTTTGTCCAGACAAAGAATAATTTTAAGTGTAATCCACCAGAACCCTTTAGAATTGGAACCATAAATGAAATCTGGGCGATGATTTCTCCTGGTCGTTAAGAGCTGTATTTACATGTGCAATACTGTGACATAAAAATACATTTCTGGGACCTACAAACAGCTTTACAACAAGATTGTATGCACTGACATGTTTTTCTCTTTGTAAAATATTGGTCATTGCTGTTTATGCTGTGCACATGGTTACTGGAAACGTCAATAGTATCCTTGACTTCAATTTGAGATTCTCTTCTAGAGTATACGCAATATTTCTTATGTGTAGAAGAACTTTTGTCAAGTCTGAAGACCGTCACAGGGTTCTCTGACACGAAATTACTGAAAATATTTATGAATCTTCCATCAGCAACGAATATGACAACAGATGGTGTTTTCGACCAAGACAGCTGTCACAAATAAAATACAGTTTCTTGAGTTTCAGATATGTTATTGGTGACGTAATCCAATTATAAGAATGTATTCCTTTGGGTCCCTATCTTAGCTTGCCCTTCACGATATAGATAAAAATTTGACTTATTTTTTTGAGGTTGTTTATTCTAAACGCACATCTGGCGAAAACAAAAAAATATCTTTCTCTGTTATTTGTCTGAGTCACACGTTGCGACTTCTAATGAATATTAGTAATTCAAGACTCTACCACCAGACTACAGCTGTAATTATAAAACACTGCACGAGTCAGACAATATGTAAAGCAGAAGATGGCTGTCTTGGTCTGATATAAGTTTACCAACGTTTCAGAGGTCCTTACTGCCTCCATGAGCAACAACCCAGAAGACAGCCATCCTCAGACTCGCCGCCGTGAAAATTTCAAATCCTATTTAATATGTAAAGCAATGACGTACTCCATAAACTATGAATGCGACATGCGCTGTTGTCATTCAAGTTCCATAAGAAACACCACTTTTGAAAAGCACTGACACGTGGCCTTTCCATTCCCACACATTCAATTTTGACTGCAGGGGGCGAAGGAGTACAGTAAACAAAGTGAGTACGCAATTTCCACTTCGACAATTGACGTCCAAGGACCATGGTCCCAACATTATCTATAAGCTTACCGTAGCACCGCGTCATGAAGACGTATGAGGGAGTAGAAGTATTATAGCTTCACGAATTAACCTCGGCTGCAAATGGTTATTAGCCTCACGCCCCGGGAAAGATTCCCCAGTATTCACGGGTAGGACGACCGGGTGTGCCACAGAGCCGGTACGGACGCGGAAAAAAAGAACGTAGATATTTTCTTTTGGTATGGACTATGCAGTGCTTTGAAACCTACTTCCAACCGAAACTGTCGTAAAGAAAGGTTATTAACCTGCACGTATTCTATACCTAAGTGTTTCATGGGACCGAACCTCAACTCAACAGTAAGAATCACACACATTCTCGCAGCATAATATACCTACTATAACCGAATATAACTCGTATAACTGGTTAGAAAATGACAGGTCAGGGTCTTTTTTAATCTTTTAGTCAAATTTACAAAAGGAATTTACTACACAAATACGATATATCCGGACATTCATTTGGAGAGCCTGGCGAGAACCAGTAATATCTCAAATTGGGATAACCGATAACCCCGTCAATACTGAAATTATGTACTTCTGCATGAATAAGACTCAAGCATTACTGACTGCTACACCAGCCTGATTAAGATCACAGGAGACGGAATCATAATAAATAAGTCTTCCTATATGATACAGTTGGATACATATTACACTGAAATAATAACAATGCTACAGGAGAATATAAACAAATCACTTCAGCCTCAAAACGGCCTGTAAGCAATGCCAGAATCATCAGGTCACAAATACAACTAATGCTGGTGGCGAGGAAAGCTTAAATGGATCAGCTATATATAGCAAGTTAAGACCGACTGGGTTCTGACACCGATCGTGGGGATTATTTGTGAACGTTGCCAGTCACACGGTGTGTTAAATACTGTTGCATTTTACTACGATGTAAAACGATGTTCTGCGAAAAAGTACAACATTCACAATGACGCTAATCCATACGTGAGATTCTGGACGTGAAATGCTGAGCGTAACAGCGCGTACCGATCGAATAAAGACAGATAGAAAATATCAAAACCAGAACTTTACCTGTTTTGCATGTGTGTGAATTTCTCATATTACGGGATGATCACAAATCGAGTGTTTGAGGGCAATGCGCCGGACCTAAGACACAGAAAGTAACAGGATAGAGAGAATTATGTAGCGAGACGCTTAATAACGCTCTTTACAAAATATAAGGGCGATAAAATAAAGGGGCAGAACATGTAGCACGATTAGGAAGGTGAGAAACGCACCTAACTCAATCGGAAACATAAAGGAAGATGGGAAAAAGGATAACATCAAGGAAACAGGATATAAAGGTAGAGACTGGATTCAAATGGGTCAGAATAGGGAGCATTTTCTGCTGTGTAATCCACTTTCAACAAAACCATGAAAAGAAATTAAAGATCTTTCCTGTTACCTTCAATCCAAATGTAGCAGTGTTGTGTTTGAATATACACTTACTAGAGTTAACAGCCTAAGAGCTATTTTATTATGCAGGCCTACACATGCAGGTGTCCCAAAAAGATGTATACAGACAAGGCGAATATTCCGCATTATAATGTGTACACATCTTTTTGGGACGCTTGTATTTATGTTCGAAGTGCTCGTTTCTAATCATAGCACTGTTAATATTTTACGGCGGAAAACATGAAAGGTCCTAGGAGGGTCCAGTGATGGGCGCTTGTGAACAAGGACCGCCATCGGCTTCCATCAAAAGGGTTATTTCGTGATGAACCAACGCTAAGTGATCATCACATTCTGAAGATGATTAGACCAATCGACACAATGGCGTTATATAGTTAAATGGTTCGTTTGCTAGTTTCACGACGGTTTCAACGATTACTTTTTACAACAACAACAAAAGTCCTAAAGCAGACCACACAGACGCCGACTCCGTCCCAGAAACAGTATAATCTAGGGCCGTGACATTTATTTCTGTTCCAGATAAAGAAGCAAGTTGTGGCCCTGCCCTGAAAATAGAAAACTTTGTGACTAGAATCGACCGTATTTCTGCTGGACTGGTTGGGCTTTACGAGTTTTCATCATTCTGGTTTTTGTTCAAGAGCCCATTTTAAATTCTTCGCCCGGAGGCAGACTATCCTGATTCAGATTTACGTCATTTTCTTCGGTCTCTCCATGCAAATGTCGGGTAGGACCCCCTAAAAATAAGCAACCACAAATTTAATCATTCTGGAGGATTGTTTGTATTTCTATTCTTTAAACCAAAAAACGTTTCTGAAGTACTCAATAGAGATGTTTAAACTACAACTTCTAGTTCAGTCAGAAATTGTACTGTTCAAGAGAGGGGTGAGTATGATTTGGAGTGGGTGATCTTGCAAGTGTGACACAGCCTTCATATACATACTGCTTCACAAAATTAGCCACTGGTTCAGAAGAAGAACAATCATTATATTTGGAAACCAGCTTAAGAACTTCATGGGGGCAAAGCTAACAGTCACTCAGCTAGTCAAATTCTCTGCATTTTATAGATCCCAAAGGTTCATTAGTATTCACATGAGCCTGCCACTGGACCACTACCTAAACCTGATGAATCCAGTTCACATCCTCACACCCCATTCCTGTAAATTGTTAATATTATCATCTCCTGTTCATATGAATCAATTCTGAGAAATCAAAAACATAACCTCCAAGTTCAGAGCTCAGGTCTACACCATTCAAACCCATTACATACTTTTCTCAGTCCATCCTGTTCTGAGCCCTTGTCAATTCAAAATTATCACTGTGCCATAAACTAGAACCTTCAGGCACATTTCAGGTATTTATTGCCATAAAACAGCCCTCTTTTATGGTTTTCAGACAAAATAAATTATGTTCGGCATTCAGTCATGTTAGATAGAATTACTATTCACAATACAGTTGGAAGTTTGTGTCCAAAATAAAAAATGCAGCAAGTACTTTTCAGCTGAAGGTAGTAAAATAGGATTTATAATATTCCAAACATACTATTGTAAGAAAATCCCTAAGCAGCTAACTAAAATCAACCTAGGAACCAGTATTATACCAACTTCAGTGTCAACCAACACAACTTCCTCAGACTACACAAAGTTCAAACAGATTCAAACATACAAAACAAGAACACATGGCACAAACAGGGCCTCCATATGCCAAATTCCAACCTCACCAGTTATTATAAAAGTGCTTACCATGTAGGATTAAAGTTATTCAATGCTCTACCATCTAACACTAGAAATTTAAATCATAATCCCATATAAGTTTTTAAATCAGCCCTGAAAAATAACCCATCTCACTCCTTCTGCTCTATAGAAGAATTTAATTAAATTGAAAATTTTAAATGCTGTAAATACTTATGTAAACAGCTGTAACAATTATGTATTTATGTTTGCACTGGTTAAGTATTATAGTTTTATAAAGTACTGTATTCAGATTATGACATCCTTGGCTTTATACTATGGAGGACCAATGAGATGTAAATAAATTCTATTCTGTGAACAGGAAATGCACTCCATCTAGCAAGACTGATACAAAACAACCCACTAACCTTGTTATTCTTTTTACTTAAAAGTGCGCTAAAGAAGTATGACTCCAATAAATGAGAAATCTGGTCAAAGATAAAATATTCAAATTCATTCCATGGAGCACAGCACTCCTTGCAAAGATAAGTCACTCATCTAGTCATGAAATTCACCTTTAACTGCACTGAAGGTTTATTACTATGTAGGATTTAAGGTTCTGAAAGCAGTAAGTATGAAGATGACTGTCTTCTGGGTTCTAGAGCTATTTAGTCTGGTTAAAGTTTACCAACATTCCAGTGGTCCTTCCTCACATGTGGCTCACTAATCACTCTGATGACAGAGGCAGCAAGGAACTCTCAAACCCTGGTAAACTTCAATCAGAATACATAACACAACAACTCAGAAGACAGCCATCTTCATATATTAGTATGTTTACAACGGCGAGCCATTAGATGATGCTTGAACAAAGATAAATCCAGTCCACATCCTCAAAGTCCATTCCTTTAACTTTATCTTAATATTATATGGGCACAAGCCTCCCAAGACTAGAACAAAATAGAATATAATTTATTTACTTTCCACAGATCCTTCAAAGGCCCAAGCCAAATATAAATTATGAAGCTCCTTCCTCACTATAAGGTTTTATCCATCGTCCTATAATTCCACTCTGTCAGACCCAGATATTCTGAGACATACAAATTCTTCCCAGTAATATGAAAAATACCTTCGAGAACATGTTATGTTACATACAAATCATGGAATAATTGTATATTGCAAACTGTCATTCAAAACAAATGTCAAATGGCTCCAGGAACAATGGCATTGTAGGCTCACACAATGGTAACAACAAATAAAAACAACAACAAAGACCAAGACACAGTGTTACTACTTTAACGCACACTTACAATTAAAAAGTTCCTGTACTCCAAAAACTAACTACAACTTAAAAACTTCTTACCCAAGTAACAATTCCGAGCACACACCGCTACAGATGTCCACAAAACATGTTACCCTGGCGCTTCTGTCGTATTTTCGTATAACAACAATTCGCCAATCAGAAACGAGAACGTCAGTGGGAGGGTAGTGGCGTGATTGCTGACGTGGGCATGCATGTAACACAGGAACAGCGTTCGGCGGTACCGGCGATCAATGAACTACGTAGTCCGTGAAGTATCCATGTATTTTTTAATATCGATATGAGCATGCGTACATGGCGCAGAAGTTTAAACTAAGGGAAACAGAAGACAACCAAAGAAAAGCATACACTTATATTCTCAGAGCATTAGAAACAACTACTGTCATCAAGATTCCATAAAAAATATACAATTCACGATCTAAATTAAATACAAAAAGATAATTTAAAAATTTAACAAATTTGAGACGGTACGTGTAATGCATCATTTAAACCAAGCCTATATTCAAAACTAGGAATGTTGTGAATTCAGAAAGCTTCGTGTGTCACCGTTCAGAACAATATAGTTTTAAAACATGTGGTTACCATTATAATGTAGAAAGCACATTTTACATTCTGAACCAAAAGTAATCCAAGGCTTCAAAATGAATATTCTGCAAACTGTCCCCAGGGCAGGACTACCAGTGTATGTTAGCATCTGATTTACTAAACATCAATTTATGTGGGTACTCTGTGCACATGATAAACATGGCGTCACAACTTAGATGTTGATGTCCGGTAGAGTGGTGTACTAATGAGAATGTTCGGAAATTTACTGGTAGTGTTTTAATGACCGGAGATTATATTACTTAATTGTCAGCTGAAGTGTTTATCCATTGTGTTGTGTATTTAATATAAGTAGTTCCAAACTATTTAGTTGAGTGTAACTCAAAAATAAACTTCTCGTGAAATGGTAGTTCTCAGTAATTTTCCACCTCCAGCGGACGGTATCAAGCATGAACAGCCCTCCACAACTGTTCATATTAATGACAGAGAGATTGGAATAGGCACACTGTTTATTACAGAAAGGTTAGTCGTATTGAGTATATTATTCCCAAATTAAGCTCTGCATGCTTTGCCATGAGAACAGTCGTACCACTCATGACAATAGATACTTTAAAGCTAGTTTACTTTGCATACTTTCACTCTGTATTGTCATATGGATTAATCTTTTGGGGAAATTCAACAGACAGTAATAAAGTTTTTTACATGCAAAAGAAAATAATTAGAATAATGGCTGGTGTCAAAAGCAGGGTATCTTGTAGAAAATTATTTCGTAAATTTAATATACTTCCACTTGCAAGTGAATTTATACTCTGCTTGCTATCATTTGTGGTGGAAAACATGGATAAATTTAAAAGAAATACAGATGTACATAATTTAAATACAAGACGTAAACATGATCTATATGTGCCAAATGCTAACGTTACTAAATATCAGAAAGGAGTGTACTATACAGGTATCAAGTTGTTTAATAATCTTCCACCAACAATTAAAAGTCTAAATTATGATATAAAGGTATTCAAGCCTGCATTGAAAGATTACCTCTTTACTCACTCCTTCTATTCTGTAGATGATTTCATCTCTGCTGAAAATGTTTAAGCTTTATATCCATAATCTACATATATGTAAAGCAAGTTTTGTATTTATATTTAAAATTCTGAGGTTTATGTATATTAATTTGTAAAATTATTTTTCATACTTGTATTGCAGAATCTGAAATTTATGTACATTGATATGTGAAATACGTTCTTGTACTTGTGTTGAAAGTTGTGAAGTGTATGTATATTGTATGAAATGACATGTTCTACATCCTTTGGTTGAGTCCTAAGAAGGATCTATGGAATGTAAATAAACTCTACTCTATAAACTAACTTCCGGGTAGCAGGTTAGTTGTATAATTTAAAATGTAATGCTAGTCCACGAGAACTGCCTGTTGCCTGTACGAAAGATCCGTAATTACACTTTCTTTTAGCACGCTCTTAGTGTCTGTCCTTAACTTATCAGAGCAATGATACGTTCATGTACCGTAAGAAAATGTAGTAAACAGAAATGTAATGTATTCTTCTAGAGCTAGCAGCCGTGTCAGGTGGTTTAATGGTAATTCGGTACCCCTAGGACTAGGACGAAGATTGTTCTCGAAACGTTGGTGTTTCCTCCATTATACCATCAGACATGGCTGGTAGCCCAAGGATAATTCACTATACTTAGTGAAAGCTTAAGATGATACAACAGAAATGGTTTGAACATTTCAAAAGAATGACATATTAAAGGATGTAAGAAAATATGATAAAAACTTGGGAAGTATGAATTAATCTGCCTTGAGTTGTCTCTTTTAAGATTCCTCTCTGCAGTAGTTATTCAACAGTACAGTTGTTATGTTAATGTTTGCAGTATGGTGTCCAGTTGCATTAGGTACAAATTCCACTGAAGTTTGTTAGGTGTAGCCCC